AGGGAGGAAGGAAGGAAGGAAGGAAGGAGGGAGGAAGGAAAGAAGGAAGGGAGGGGAAAGAAGGAAGGAAGGAAGGAAGGAAGGGAGGGAGGGAGGGGAAGGAAAGATGGAGGGGGAGAGAGGGAAGACTAAAAAGGAAGGAAGGTAGGAGAGAGGGAGGAAGGAAAGAAGGAAAGGGAAGGGAGAGGGAGGGAGAAAGGGAAGAAAGGCAGAAAAAGGAAGGAAGGAAGGAAGGAAGGAAGGAAGGAAGGAAAGGGAGGGGAAGGAAGGATGGAGGGGGGAGAGAGGGAGAGAAGGAAGATTAAAAAGGAAGGAAGGGGAGAGGGAGGAAAGAAAGAAAGAAAGAGGAAGGAGGAAGGAAAGAAGGAAAAGGAAGGGAGAGAGGGAGAAAGGGAAGAAAGGCAGAAGGAAGGAAGGAAGGAAGGAAGGAAGGAAGGAAGGAAGGAAGGAAGGAAGGAAGGAAGGAATTCCTGCCCAACTCAGCCAAGGGACCCTGGGGGGGGCGGGATTGGGGGCTATTCCTGGCCTCCCGGCAGAGGGGGAGGGCAGGGCTGGCCCCTCCTTGGGAAGGCATGGGGGGGCGTAATCTTCCCCCCCCCACGCATGCAGACAATGGCACACGGGAGCCGCCCTCTTCCCCCCCCCCGCGCTGACCTTTCCCCCAGAGAAAGCACCTCCTAAATCTTCCCGGGCTGACGCGCCTGCCCTTCAAACGGCGCTCCGGACTCCCGTCTGGGCCAGCCTGGGTCGGTCGTGGGGATCCGCGCAGCGCAGATCCACCGGGGCGGGGGGGGGGGGGCAGCGTTACCAGGAGGACCCCAGACCCAGCATTTAAAGCGGGGGGGGGGAAGAGGAATGCAGAGCGCGGGTGCAAGAAATCCCAGCGCCCGCGAGGATCCCGCAGGCTTCAAGCTTCTAGTCCACACGGAGGCAAAGGGTTGACACGCGCGGGAGGCCAACGCCGCGGGAGGGGGGGACCCTTCGGAGCCCCCCTTTCCCAAGCCAGCCCTGAGCGTGGCACCGAGGCAGACGACCCCCCCCGCGCCCCCTCCCCAACATACCTGGGCGGCGGCGGCGGCCGCGTGGGCGGCGTAGAGTCTCCCCGCGAGTGGGCGGGCGCGGGGCGTCCCGGGCCTGCAAAGTGGGGAAGGGGTTGCAGTGCGTTGCAACGAAAGGGGAGGGGGCGTCTCAAGATCCCCCCCAACCACCCCCCACCTGCCTGGGCTCCCCCCGCCCCACCACGAGCCCCCACTCACCCCCGCAGGGCCCCGACCCCCAGGAAGAGGCGGGGGGTCAGGAGGAGGGCTGCCATGTTTGGGGAGGGGGCTCCAAATTGGGGGGGGGGTCCGAGAGGGTCCTTCGGGCAGGCTGGCGGAGCTGCTGCTGCTGCTGCTGCTGCTGCGTTCGTTCCGCTTGCTCGCTCCGCCCCCCCTCAAGTCAAAGGGGGGGAGGAGGAGGAGGGGGAGGAGGAAGAAGGGCGGAGCATGCTGGGAGTTGAAGTTTGCCCGGGCTGCAGACGTGGCTGCTCATGCGCAGCGGGTTCCCCTTCCCCCCCCCCGCCACTTTTTTCCGGAGAACGACCCCTTTTTCTTTCCAGTGGGGCTTGCAAGGCGGTGCCTCTGAGCATGTACAGACCGCCCTCCCTCTCCCCCTTCCAGAGAACGATCCCTTTCCCCTTGTTGGGGCTTGCAAATGGGTGCCCCTGAGCATGTACAGAACGCTCTCCCCCTCCCCCTTCCGGAGAACGGCCCCTTTCCCCTTGTTGGGGCTTGCAAATGGGTGCCCCTGAGCATGTAAAGAGCGCCCACCTCTCTTCTGGGGAGCAATCCCCTTCCTGTTAGGGCTTGCAAGGGGGGGGGCTTGCAAAGAGGAAGGCGGTGCCCCTGAGTGTGTACAGAATGCCCTCCCCACCCCCCATTCCGGAGAACGATCCCTTTCACTTTGGGGCTTGCAAAGCGGTGCCCCTGAGCATGTACAGAGCGCCCCACCCCCTTCCGAAGAACGATCCGTTTCCCCTTGGGGCTTGCAAAGCGGTGCCCCTGAGCGTGTGCAGAGTGCGTGCCTCTCTTCCGGGGAGCGATCCCCTTCCCATTGCAAACAGGGACGGCGTGCACAAGAGGCAAGCGGTGCCCCTGAGCATGTACAGAGCGCCCCCCCCTTTCTGGGGAACAATCCCCTTCCTGTTAGGGCTTGCAAGGGGGGAGGGCTTGCAAAAAGGAAGGCGGTGCCCCTGAGCGTGTACAGACCGCCGCCTCCCCCTTTTCCGAAGAACGACCCCTTTTCCCCTTGGGGCTTGCAAGGCTTGTGCCCCTGAGCATGTACAGAGCGCGCCCCCTTCCGAAGAACGATCCGTTTCCCCTTGGGGCTTGCAAATTGGTGTCCCTGAGCATGTAAAGAGCGCCCCCCCCCGCTTTCTGGGGAACCATCCCCTTCCTGTTAGGGCTTGCAAAGAGGAAAGCGGTGCCCCTGAGCGTGTACAGACCGCCGCGCCTCCCCACCTTTTCCGAAGAACGATCCCTTTTCCCCTTGGGGCTTGCAAGGCTTGTGCCCCTGAGCATGTACAGAGTGCGTAACTCTCTTCCGGGGAGCGATCCCCTTCCCATTGCAAGCAGGGACGGCGTGCATAAGAGGAAAGCGGTACCCCTGAGCATGTACAGAGCGCCCCCCCTTTCTGGGGAACCATCCCCTTCCTGTTAGGGCTTGCAAAGAGGAAGGCGGTGCCCCTGAGCGTGTACAGACCGCCGCCCCCCCCCCTTTTCCGAAGAACGATCCCTTTTCCCCTTGGGGCTTGCAAGGCTTGTGCCCCTGAGCATGTACAGAGCGCTCCATCCTTCCGGATAGAAAAGGGGCGAGCAGAGTCGCTTCAGCCGGATTCTTGGGACGGGGCCCGGGGACAAAGCGGCTATTTTTAAACCTTGTTTTTCTCGCGACTCGGATTCCTCCGGCGGGGGGTGGGGGGGGTGAGTGGCGCCCACCTTGCAGCGTCCTTTTTGCCCTTGCTGCCTCTTTGGAGGTCCTTCGCAGAATTGGGGGGGGGTCCCCACTCCGCCCCCACCCCCATCATTTGGATTTGAAAAGTTAAAATAAAGTTTTTGAGGACTGGACAACACAAACTTGCCTATTTAACGTTCAGTTAATTCTGCTATTCTGGATTGCATCTGGGTTTTTTCTAGCCCCCCCCCCCAACCTTTGGCCCGTTTGAGATGGGTGGACTTCAACTCCCAGAATTCCCCAGCCCACATTGCTGGCTGGAGAATTCTGGGAGCTGAAGTCCACCGGTCCTCGAGAGACCCAGCTTGAAAAATACTGCTTTACAAGATGATCATCCTCACTTATACAGACCTTGCCTTAGTACAACTTGGCCCTTTGAGGACTGGTGGACTTCAACTCCCAGAAATCCTCAGCCAGCGGGCTTGGCTGAGGAATTCTGGGAGTTGAAGTCCACAAATCCTAAAAGGGTCAGTTCCCTCACTCTGGCTGAGGAATTCTGGGAGTTGAAGTCCACAAGTCATTAAAGGGTCTTTGTTCCCTCACGCTGGCTGAGGAATTCTGGGAGTTGAAGTCCAGAAGTCATCAAAGGGTCAGTTCCCTCACGCTGGCTGAGGAATTCTGGGAGTTGAAGTCCACAAATCATGAAAGGGTCAATTCCCTCACGCTGGCTGAGGAATTCTGGGAGTTGAAGTCCACAAATCATGAAAGGGTCAATTCCCTCACGCTGGCTGAGGAATTCTGGGAGTTGAAGTCCACAAGTCATCAAAGGGTCCTAGTTCCCTCACCTAGCTGAGGAATTCTGGGAGTTGAAGTCCACCAGTCATCAAAGGGTCCTAGTTCCCTCACGCTGGCTGAGGAATTCTGGGAGTTGAAGTCCACCAGTCATCAAAGGGTCAGTTCTCACGCTGGCTGAGGAATTCTGGGAGTTGAAGTTCACAAGTTGTCAAACGGTCAGTTCCCTCACGCTGGCTGAGGAATTCTGGGAATTGAAGTCCAGAAGTCATAAAAGGGTCACAGTTCCCTCATGCTGGCTAAGGAATTCTGGGAGTTGAAGTCCACAAGTCATCAAAGGTCCAAGTTTGAAGACCCCTGTCTTAGTCTCTTAACCTATGGGTAGTCCTCAACTTAACAATGGTTCGTTTACTGATTAAAGTTACATCACTGAAAAGGGGACTTATGAATATTTTTCATACTTACGACCATTCTCGTAGTCGTGATCCGAATTCAGACCCCTGGCCATTGATACATATTTATGACAGTCGCAGCATCCCTGGGGGTGTGTGTCACGTGATCCCCTCTTGCGACCTCCTGACCAGCAAAGTCAACTGGGAAAGCCAGATTCACTTAACAACCAAGGCCAGAAAGGTCGTAAAATGGGGCAAAACTCAATGACCGTCTTGCTTAGCGATGGAAATTGTGGGGCTCAATTGTGGTCGTAAAAGGTGGTAAAACCTTTTTAAAAAAAAGTATTCACAAGATTGGCCCGTTCAGATGAATTCACAACTGTATCCCCACGAGTATTTTACCCACAACCACCTCCCCCCCCAACTTTTTACAAAACAACACACCTGCGCGCCAAGTTTGGTTTTTCTTAAGCTTTTATTTTTTTTTTTTATTTGAAGGCTTTTTGTACACAAAAGAGCTAAAAAATAAATATGGCATTACAAAAAGAGTGATCTGCTAACAACCACACAAACCCTGCCACACCCGTGCACAGACACACCCCCTCCAGCCCCC